TTGTCACCTAGGCAAGAGCCCCCGGCTAGTACAGACGCCGTGAACTTGAGTGGTCATGATGTCAAGGTCAGCACTGACTGCCCAGCTGAAAGAGCGCCATCAACCGCTGATCCTACCATGGATGTCAGTCAACCCGTTGACGCTCCTAGGCCTCAGCAGAGTCAAGCAGCTGAAGGTCTAAAGACTACTCGCTCTGGTCGGGTTATTAGGACCCCAGCTAGGTTCAAGGACTTTGACTGTTCTGGACGATGAGCATAAGAACGCTCAATTATTCTATTTGTATTGTTTCGGTGTATCTTGATAGATGGAAAATCTATGTACTTTGCTTTTTAACTTTGGTAATAACAGAAGTCAATTCTCAGAAAGAAGAAAATTAATGATTAATTAGTAATTAATATGATCTATAACACTGCGCAACATCTACAACTATCAGCGTCATCACCTGTGGTTTAGCCAAACTATGTTACAACACGCAGCGGTTGAGTTAGCAGACCCCCGGATCCTTACCAGTGAAAAGGGACAGAACAACAACAACAACAACAGCAACAACAAAAAAGATATAAGATGAAGTGGGATGTGACGTCTTCTCATTCACAGTGTCACGCCACAAATGTAAGTTGACCTTTTTCTTGTCCTTTTTTTTCTGTATCCCTCGAGACTGTTTAGACAACTATACACATACGCAGGTAAAAAGTCAGAGTTGAGTGTTGAGGATGGTTGTATGGGTCTTGGCTAAACCAGGAATCATGTTTCCAGAAAAATATTTACCCCTCGCATGTTTCTTCAATGTTTCCCAGTTTAGCCACATGCGAAACATTGCTGCGTGCAATAAATTTTGCAAAATTTGCTTCCAAGACGTAAAAAATGTTTCTGCTGTGCGGTAGAAATATTGTATGCTTCAAAGACGCATCTAAACAATGTTTTCCGATATTTCCTGGCAGTTTTGCTACTTTGGAAACATTTTTTGGAAACATGTTCCCTCGTTTAGTTAGGGCCCTACTCCAAGGATCTATACCTAATTAAGCTTCGAAAATTAGCACCAAAGAGATGCAATAAGCTAAACAAGTATTAGAGGTTGAAAGGAAATACCTAAACAACAAAGTTCTAGCAAAAGAAAAAAATATATATATATAATAATAATAACTATATTCTAGTCTGCAAACAAAGTAAAATTAATCATTATTGCCGAATAACACTCTGGTGGTCCAATTCCGTTTGAGGGAAACTGAGGGAAACGTAAACAACCAATTGATCCTACTGGGGCACATTGTGTTCCATTTGTTAAAGCCTGATTTGCAGCTTTTTGTGAACACAAAATATTAAAAAGGGATAAACTTTCTTGTAACCTCCAAGTGGTACATTGGGGTATCCGTGCTCTCTGCACTTTGCACAGGATCTAACCGAGGGAGCATGATTAAGAGACAAGATGAAAGTGTAGACGGGAAACGAAACCGATACTCAGATTGAGCGCAGATCATTTTACAATAATTACAATACGAAAACCTGGAAATTATATTGAATGTATCAAATTTAGGGAATTTTTAACAAATTAATAATAATAATGACTTTATTGGATAAACACAATTACTAGCGAACTAGTAGTTTTCATTGTGGTCCATATTACATGCCAGAAATCGGTTAAGATGGAAATATCAAAGCTYGTGGACTAGACTCATTGTATTATAAATGTTCCCAGAAAACTTTAGAAGTCATCAAGTTTTGCGATTTTAGCTTTAACTGTTCAAAAGTTACATACATACATACATACATAATCTTTATTTAAGCACGGATGTCTCATCATACAAAATGGCCTTCCTAAGAGCCGTGTTAAAATTTATAATAGAATAATAAAGCAGGAGCACAATACGACCTCACCTTAGTAAAATTGTTAAAAGGGGAGAGTACCTCCGCTGGCAGAGTTTATTACGAATTCTGATTATTGAAAAAATCATCCAGTGAGTTATGGAAGTTACTTAAGGTTGACACACTTTTCATATTATCAGGGAGGCTATTCCAAAAACAGCCCCTCTGTAGTCCCTCTGTTATACGAGCTGAATTTTGTAGTGGCCCTCAAGGGCTCCTCAAAACCCTCCCCGCCCCCCGCCCCCCTCTCCTCGCTACCGGAACGAAAAGGGCTAAGGAAATTTCCAAAAAACGGTGCATAAGCTATTCGATGTAAGGCGTCATAGACAATTCAAGGCTAAAGCCTATCTAAGCAAGTGCATATGTTACAATGGGCCATACTAAGGCAGATAAAGGAAGACTAATGCACTCTAAGGTGATCGATCTTATCGCTTCGCCATAAGCTGCACACGACTCCGACTTTGAGTCCGTGAAACCAGGCTTATTGCTCCCCTCCTCTTCTCCTGTTCTGCCCTATCCTCTGCACTCTGCTGTGCTCCGAACTTCTTTCCTCTCCTCTCTTTTCTTCTCCTCTCTCTTCTTGTCCTCTACTTTCTTCTTACAAATCGTACGCGATTCTTTTTTTTACTAAAAAAATGGAATTCGAACAGCAAAACGTTATCTGAAAGCAAATTAAGACTAAGCATTTCAATTTTGTTTCCTCAATTGAAGTCTGTATTTCTTTATTTCTTCTGTAGAAACAATGGAAAATTTCTGTATTTTTTTTCGCTTCGAGCTCCATTTTTGTACTAAAAAAATCCAGCAAAATTTGCTAGCTTTCACTCAGCTAATAAAAGCTTTTGAATATCATTATCTGCTGGAAGTCTGTATTTCTTTCTTTCTTCTGTAGAAACAATGGAAAATTTCTGTATGTTTTTTCGCTTCGAGCATCAATTTTGTACTTAAAAAATCCAGCAAAATTGCTGGCTTTCACTCAGCTAATAAAAGCTTTTGAATCTCATTATCTGCTCCACATGGTAATCAAACACTGACCACCATGTGCTATCAGCCAGAAAGAATTATGTTTAAAACTTGCTATTCAGCTGATGAAAATTTCGCACGAGACAGAAATGACGTCAAGTGAAAGCCAGCAATATCTTGCTCCCGATATGTTATTTTTTATCGTGCAAAATGTCACGCCACCGGCTTTTTTCACGTTCTGATCACGTGCATTGGTTTATATTCACCATTCTATTCACGTGCGTTGGCCTTCCTCGATGACAAAGAGGTTTTGCCTATACGAAGCAGTAGCCACAAAAACCGTCGGGTGGTTTTAAACAACTTTATTCAATATTAAATCATTTAAAATGTTTTAAACTTTAAATAAAATCATATTTAAATGTGTTGAACCATTTTAGGCTTAGCAAATTTTATAAGCTTCAATTGTGACTAAGAATGTGTTTAGTTTGACTCTTTTACGATCAAAGGCACTGTAGCGGCTTGGGGTCACCCTTGCTGTCACTAGACCCGCGGTTACGCCGCTTGGGGAGAAAGGCTTAAACACTGTAATCCACACTCGATTCTTTATTGCAATAATGTTGGATCACGTAAAAACTAAAACATAATACAAAGGACATAAATAACTAACTATAATCGACTATAATCGGGTTACTAAGCTAGAATCACATGCGTAAACTTTGGTAACATTGTATAAGTTTGGTTCTTTAAATCATAACAAATTTGTATACGTTGAAGTATAAATCTAAAGATATTGATGGGTTTCTTCCGTAATCAGGTATAGGTGATTGTAAATGATCATGTAACACTATATATATGATATAAAAGGGGGGGAGGGGGGAATAAGAAGGATAACATAGTACATACCTCTTTCCTCCCGTACAGTATTCAATCTAAAGCCACGAGGCTGAAACATTATACTACGCTAATAATAATTGACGAAGTGACGTAATCGAATAAACAGCAAATCATTTACAGGCACTGAACTATCAATGTCTAATAAATTCTACAGTTAAAATGATCCTGATAGAGACAGCATTTGCAAGCTAATGCAGTTTTAATTATTTATCAATATCTATTAACTACAATATGATCATTATCGTAGCAACGTTTCCGCCACTATCACTTTCTCTTAGAGACAATAAATGCAAGAAAAGGCAGTTGATTATTTACCAATATCTATGAATAACTACAAAAATTATGATTACGAGAGAAACGCCACTCTCACTTTCTTTTAAAGACAGCAAATGCTAGCGAGGGCAGTTTTAAACTTTTATCAATATATTTTAAAAGCTACAAAAAATGATTATGATAGAAACGAAACAACGGTCATTTTTGCTCATATTTTTYAGTTTCAAGATTTTGTACATTTAAGGTCTTACAAGGGTGAAAAGCACTGCGCTTGTTCATTAAAAGGGCGGGAAAATATCAAACMCGTGTTAAAACAAAGATTGTTTTAATCTCTTCAAATTTACTTTCTTCAGCTCGGCAAATCATACCAGAGTCATTATCTATGTCCTCCAATAATTCTTATTAAGGTTACTGGAGACCTTCAGGGGTATGTTTCGTTTAAGACTCTCTCTTCGCAAACCTTTACACAAAATCCCATAAAACTATATATCGTTTTCAAGGTCATATAATAAAGATTCAGAAAATAATATTATTTGAAAGTGACTTCTTAATTTGAAACAATGCCGGAGCCTTAAACACAAATCGGGCAAGTTCAGTTGAGGTCAATTAATGAACATAAATATAGCGCATATAGCCAAAGGAATTTCACTATGTGAATAAGCAAAAGATAAACAACAAAAGGGTCTGAGCGGTTTTTGATATTTTACTTCATTTAAAGTTATTGAATTTTAAAGTTGGAACGTCGAAAAATGTCAATGACGGTTAATATTTTACCGCATAAAAAAACGAAATACTCAAAATATCAAAAATCGCTCTCACCCTTTTGTAGATTATCTTTTGCTTACTCACATAGTGAGGTTCTTTTGGCTATACGCGCTAACGCTATTTCCATTAATTCACCTCTACGGAATGTGCCCGATTTGTGTTTAAGGCTCGGTATTGTTTCAAATTAGAAAATAATTTTGAATTATTATTATTTTCGAAATCTTCATCATATGACCTTTAAAACGATATATAGTACAAGGGGGTTTTGTTGACCTTGTTGCGTAGGGAGAGCTTAAAAGAAACATAGCCCCGAAGGTCTCCAGTAACCTTAAATAATCTGTTACTGATTTCATTTATTTGCAACGCTGAAAGACGCAGTGCGTTTTCCCCGTGTTTATTAAACTACCAGAAATGGTTTAATCTATAAGGCGGTGTCTTCTTTAAGATCACCAATCTTGTTACAGTGTTTTTACTTTCATCATCTTCAGCCTCCACCACTTATTGATGCTCGGTTATCAATATTTCGTTTTCAATCGTTTATTCTGCAGCAAAGAATCATACCACTTTTTAACAATGCGATTGAATAAAAAAAACTCTGAGCAATAAAAAGCGTTAAACAAGGGCTAATATGCGAATAGTAACATGTCAGGATAGCATGGTTTTCAGAGGAAAAAACCCTTAATTATTGGAACCTAAAACGATGGTGCAATTACTCCGGTTTCTGGAAGATGTTTTTGGATACCATATCTTTGATTCCTGTGTTCATATACGTCTATTGGATTCTGGGATGAGGGAACCGAAAACCAATTAAAACCAATAACAATACTTATAACAACTATGCAAAGCCTTATCACATTACTAATGTTTTGCATCGTCAAGATATTTGCTTTGTACTCACCTCAGAGGTTTGGAGTTTGTCTTCCAGGCAATTGGGTTCATGCACAGTATGAACAGCGATGGACAGAGTGCATCACCTTGTGGAATTCCTGTCTTGAACCGTATTGTTGGAGCGATCTCTTTGCCTTGGGCCGTTTGAGGAACAATGCAAGTATTCCAACTGTTAGCCAGCTTCTTCATCACTCCAGCAAACCATAGGGGGAATCTGTGTAGAGTGAACATTTTAGATAACCAGCAAAGATCAACAGAGTCATAGGCTTTAGTTACATCAATCCAGGCCATGCTGAGATTTCTATTTTCTCTCTGAGCATCCTCACTAACCATCTTCCATTGCCTCTTCGATCTTCTCGATCCATTCTACTTCCATATCTCCGGTTCCTTGTTCTTCGCAAAGACTTTTCCAAAAACTACTCGCTTCATCAATGTTAAGTTCGTGAACTTATTGTTATTGTCTTGTGTCGCTTGCATAGTTCCGCCGTACTTTGGTTGGTGAACATTCGTCTGATTTTCTAACATTTTTGCAAAGGTGGTATATACACTTCTAGGATCCGCGAAGAATGTTTGAATGAGATTCCTTGCATCTTCAAGCTTCTTTGCACGCCAAAATTTTCTCTTCAGCTTCCGCTTTGACTTTCCCCTCTCCATGTAGATAACTATTATTGTCATTATTATTTTTATTATGATAAGTTTTATTTGTCTGTATATATCATGTTTACACTGACCAGCGGACTAAGTGTCACGGAATAACTTAAGTAGATCTTAGGGGATTTAATTCATTACTGTTATCAGGTGTTAAATCATTTAGTAATATTAATCCTTTGCCTATGATTAGAGATCTTTGTCTATAGGTAGTTTGTTAGCTTAGTATTGTTCCTGAAATACTTATATACGCCCTTTCATAACAAATGCGGAGAAGAAAGCGATCAGTAGTTGTGAGCTGTGCAACGAAACACAGCGCGGTTGGTACAAGAAAACTGAGAAGAAAACGGTCGTCCAAGRAAGCAACTCACACAGAGTTCCACTAGAAAAGACGTATACGTACTGAAACAGTTGAGAAGATAAAGTTGAGGAAGAAAACCTTTGAAAGACAACCTCAGCAGAACGCTTGGGAAAAGGCTATTTGGTAAAGATAAAGAAAGAAAGAACTGAACTAGTACCGCAGAGAGGAATTCCGTCGAGAAGAAGACTGTACTAAACAAGAACGTCAACCGCTTGGGAATGAGAGACTTTACAGAAGCTTTGAAAACCAAAAAGTAAGCATGCTAAAATAAGGAACACTATTCCACCACGTTAGCTTATTTAGGTAGAAAAAAAAGAATAGGAAGATTCATAGTTTAGATATTTCTAAAGAATTCAAAGTTAAAATATTAGAAAATACAAACTTTACAAGATATTTAATAAGTTGCGTGATCTTTAAAACTTCACATTATTATTATCATATTATCATTTCCAAGTCTGTGAATAAGTTATCAATCAAGTGGTATCGAGTTAACAGTTTATTTAAGTTATGTAATTTATCTAAGAAAATACCAGTGATTAATTTGCAAAATCAGAGTGGAAAATAGCTTTAGGATGATCGATAATAAAAGTGGTTGTGATACATGCGTTTGTTGATTTCTTTGAGGGAAGGCTTAAGGTATGTCGGCATAACTAGGGTGACCTCCACCTGTTCGGTTACACTAAGTCTAGGCTGGTTAAGTTCATCATTTTTTACAATCCTTTTTTTCAGAACTTCTTGACTGTATTACCATTCTGGCTTACAATCCATTTTTGGCATCGTTCTATAAGAAAGTTTACTTCCCTATTATTATCATTATTGTTACTATCATCATTATTATGATAATAACAATAATAGTCAGGTGGCTAAGTGGTTAGATCTATACACAGCGGACAAAAGCACCAAAATTTGCATGAATGTAGAATAGAGTATTGTAATCAATATTAGGACCGGTGCCCACTTCAATCTCTTCAGGATCCCATATTAATTGGACTTTAATTTTATGAAAAATGTAAGTCATGGGCTCCCTCTGGTCAATATTTTATAATTTTGGTTTTTTGGCCGATGTTCTTTTTAAAATTCACATTTGTGATTCAAAATAGCTAGAACTGTTTGCTTTTATCATTTCCGTTAATAAATATATTTCAAACATCGAAATAATAGCGAGTTTTTAAATAAATACTTGTCAAGCTCGTACCCAGTCCTCAACTCGGTCATCCAAGATGGCGGCTGTCAAGTGTCACTACACGAAATGTAAGTAGACAAGAAAAATGGTAATTTTCTTCTTAAAGTTGAGCAATATTCCTATTTTTTCATTGTTTTGAATGTCTGTAGACTTTGATTCGAGATATGATGACTATCTGGGGGCATTTGTTTTAGAAACTATAAGATATGATTGTACGTGCTTTTTTACAGGTTTAGTTTTAAGGTGAGATGGTACTCAATTGGAACCTATGCATAATTTGCCAGGAATCAACTCGTGAAGCTTTAAGATGTCCCAAAAATGCACATACCTTCAGCTGCGATGTGTACAGCTCTTTTTTGGACAATTTAACAGGGTTTAAGAATATAGATTATCTTCCTGTTGAGATAAAATTTGACATCACAACAACAACTGTAGATGATCTTATCAGCAATGACGCGAAATGGCATCAATCATGTCACTTAAAGTTTAGCCTGTCAAAGCTCAGAAAAGCTCAAGCAAGAAGGAGTAAATTTAATAACCGAAAAGATGTAAGATCTGCTAAACGTCCTCGGAAGGGAACCAGTATTGATCAGAATGATCAGAAATGCATCATTTGCGATGAGGGGGTTGATACTGGTATACTTCACTGTTTCTCCACACTTGAAGCTGACAGGAATTTGCGTCGGATTGCCACGGATCTGCAGGACTTCCATCTACTTGCGAAMATATCAGGTGGTGATCTAATTGCCATAGAAGCGAAATACCATATGAAATGCTTGACAATATTGCGAAATAAGCACCGGTCTCTGGAACGCAAAAGTGCAATGTCGACAGAGGCTGAAGAGGAAGAAAAAATCAATGAGTCACGGGCGTTTGTTGAATTAGCTGAATACATCACAGATTCTGTGGAAAATGGAAGCGTGTTTTTTGTACTTTCAGAACTCCACATGTTGTATGAAAACCGTCTTAAGGATTTTGGAATAGAAAAAACAGTGAATCGCTTCAGACTTAATAATAAAATACTAGAACACTTCAGAAATGCTCAAAAACAGAATGATGGACGACAGACAGTAATCATCTTCCAAGATGGATTAAAAAACCTGGTTAAAGAAGCTGTAAAAGAAAGAGACTTCTCGGATGACACCGCAGCTTTGACTCAAGCCGCAAAGATAGTACGACGAGATATGTTCTCCCAAGAAGGATTTGAATTCTCCGGCACTTTTCCCCTTGGGTGCCAAGAAAATTCTGTACCAGCAAGTTTGAAGACCCTCATTTCTATGTTAATTAACGGTATGAACCTCAAAGATCAAGAACATAAGGAATCTCAGTCATGCCTTACAGTGTGTCAAACTGTGTTGTTTAATGCCAAGAAAAGATTGCCTTCCACTTCTATGCGACATTCTTTGATGCGTGAACCACCACTTCCCATTTACATCCGTTTAAACATCCATTCCTTGACGAGATGTAAAACGGTTATAGCCAAGCTCTATCAGTTGGGTTTGAGCATCTCATAAGATAGAGTCATGGAAATTGAGGAATGGTTGGCAGCTGCAGTTTCACAGCGTTACAATGAGGATGGTTGTGTGACACCTGCCTGCCTGAAAAAAGGGATATTCTCAGTTGGCGCTCTTGATAATCTGGACCACAACCCAAGTTCGATGACTGCAACATCATCCTTCCACGGAACTGGTATAAGCATCTTTCAGTTTGAAACCCAGAATAACCCTGGTCAGAGCCGACCGTTGATAACTGTCCCACCTCCTGGTATGACTAACCATTTCATCCCTGACAGCTATGCTGTTGTTCCTCCAATAGAGCTAAATAAAACAGCTAATTCAGTTCCAGAACGTAACCAGAGTGCAATCAATGACAATCTGGAAGATGAAAAATCACGAGAGAAACGTTGGGWCGAGYATGCGCTAGAACTGCTGCACAAAGAAAATTTAACTTCAAAGGATTCCATAGTATGGGCAGCCTATCACTCAACCAATCAATCTCTCGAAAAAGACCCCCCAGCTATATCTGCTCTACTTCCCCTCTTTTACGAAAAAGCTGCAACACCTGCTATGATAAAGCATGGAATGGATGTGCTGAAACGAGCCAATTGCATTTTAAAATCCCTCTCAGCTTCCAGTTATAGCTCTTGATCAACCGTTGTATGCTTTGGCAAAGATGGTGCAGTGGAAATGGCCGCAATCCTATGGGGAGGATAAGTACGTGGTAATGTTTGGAGGATTACACTTGGAGATGGCACTATGGAACACTCTTGGTGATTTGCTCGAATCCTCTGGCTGGACAACCGCCTTAGTTGAAGCAGAGGTTGCATCATCTGGTGTTGCCGATTCATTTCTGAAGGCATCACACCTAACAAGAACACGGTAATTTTGTTGAGCGGTCACATAATCCATTTGCAATACGATAAAGCATGTTTTTCTTCTTTTTTAGCTAGATTTTTGTGACTAAAATATAAACTGTATACCTCTTTCCAGACATGCGCATCAAGTAACACTTTTGGCGTTGAGCAAGTTGAAGCGTGAAGCCTATTTTCTTGGCCTTGGTGAGGATGGCGAGACCTCAGTTAGTGATTGGGAGTCACAATTACGTAATAGGAGCCCAACATTTCTGTTTTGGGACATGATTCTTGAATATGAAACTCTCATTCTCATGTTCATCCGTGCTCATAGGGACAAATGCTTCTCCCTGTATGTTGAAGTCTTGGAAGAACTGATCCATCTTTTCTTTGCACTTGATCATGTCAACTATGCGAGGTGGGTTCCTATTCACTTGAGAGATATGCGATCTCTTCCCGCTTCCATCAAGGAGTTTGAGCAGGAACAGCATTGGGTGCTATCGAAGACAAAAAACAAATTCTCTGCAATTCYTATCGACCAAGCCCATGAGCAAGAGAACAAGAACGTCAAGTCAGTAGGGGGTGCCGTTGGACTCACTGAAAATCCAGTTGCATTCAGGTAACTCTTTATAGACGTCAGCCGCGTAACAGTTGTGTTAGTTAACAAGGTCTTGTTTGTTCTTTTATTCCAGAAGGTGGATGCTTTCAGGTCCGGAAACAGCAAGACTCATCGTCCAATTTGAAGACAATTATCTGGAAGATAATGATCCAGAAAACCCAAGAAACTTTCAGAACCATGAAACAGGACAGGCAGCCCAGCGAACCTTTCGACGTCAGGTAAACAGTCTGGCCGATGTTATCAGAAATCTTGGCAATCCTTTTCTTGATGACTTTCCGGAACTTGTGACTCTCGACAACCGAGATTGCATGGATAGTGCTGTTGCTGAAGCATTAGCATCACTAGAAGTCACTGGAARGGCAAAGTACAAGGAGTACCGTAAGGCTGTCATCGAAGATCGARCAAAGTCGATCCAYGATCCCATCAACAAAAACAACCTGCCAGTTTTCAAGAAACCCCAGCGAAAATCAATCTCTAAAACAGGGAAGAAGATTTCAGCTCTTCAGAATAATGTGGCCCTTTTTGCACATCTATATGTTGCAATGCAGAGTAGAGAAAGTGACCTGAAAGACTTCTTCTCCCATGAAGTACAGCCCTTTCCTCCATCCCTTTCTGAGTTTGGTAATCTACGTTTGCCGACAGCTAAGTCAGATTTGCTTGCTTGTCTGCCTGGATCAACTGAACAAACGAATCCACCAACTCACTTTGACTGCAGAGTTCTCGATGGTGCTGTCATTGTTCACTGCCTTCCCACGACAGGTGCTGTGACGTTTGATGATTACTCAGACAAGGTGTTTATCCCATATTTAGTGAACCAGCTACAATCGTCAAGTAGAGTTGATGTTATATGGGACACATATGTTCCTGGTAGTCTAAAGGAGTCGACAAGGGAGAAAAGAGGAGCTGGCATTA